TATTAGACCAATTGGGTGTCTTAGGCAGGCAAGGTAAAAAAAATTTAATACATCTTTTAAAAAAAATATTTATTTATTTATTATGTATACAATATTCTGTGTGTCTGCCTGCAGGCCAGAAGAGGGCACCAGACCTCATTACAGAGGGTTGTGAGCCACCATATGGTTGCTGGGAATTGAACTCAGGACCTTTGGAAGGGCAGGCAGTGCTCTTAACCACTAAGCCATCTCTCCAGCCCAATTTAATACATCTTTACATATCTAAACAAATGAAGCATAAAAAATAACACAGCTTTACATTCTTAAAAGTAATATTCCCCAGCATAAAGAAATGTAATGCATCTTTGCCTACCTAAAATAATATTCCACAACAGTTCATTCTCTGGATCTGACTCTTGCTTTCTATACTGCTGAGCCTCTGTTCCTTCCCTCTAGAATGCTGTTCCCTTCCACCTTACTCTGAAAGTTCTACCCTCTTTTCAAGGCTGGGTTTCAAAGTCAGCTTCCCAAGAAATATCAAATGGAAAAAAGAAAGCATATTTAACAAGTGGTGCTGGCACACATGTAGAAGAATGAAAATAGATCCATATCTATCACCATGCACAAAACTCAACTCCAAATGGATCAAAGATCTCAACATAAAGCCAGCCACACTGAACCTCAGAGAAGAGAGGTATGTATTGGCAAGTGGATTTTACTGAAATCAAATCTGGAAAAATTGGATAAAGTACTTGTTAGTATTCATAGTCACCTTCTCCAGATGGACTGAGGCGTGTCCAACCAAACACAAGGTGGTCAACGTGGTAGCAAAGAAATTAATTGAAGAAATCCTGCCCAGGTACAGCTTCCCAGCCATGATTGGTTCTGACAATTGCCCAGCCAGGTAAGCCAGGAAATAGTCACTGCACTGGGGACCCATTAGAAACTCCATTGTGCTTATAGACCCCAGAGCTCAGGGTAGGTAGAAAGGATGAATAGAACCCTAAAAGAGACCTTATCTAAATTATCTCTGGAGACTGGCACAGACTGGGTGACTCTCCTCCCCTTTGCCCTGTTTAGGATGAGGAATTCTCTGTATCAGATGGGCCTCACTCCCTTCGAGATTATATATGGGACACCCCCTCTCATGATACCAAGCCTTCAGAATGGCCTAGTCTCTACCCTGGATGACCAGGATATGCTGAACTCCCTCCGCAGACTGTAGTTAGCCCACCAGCAGGCCTGGCCCCAGTTGAGGGCCATCTATGAAGCAGCCGCTTCCCCCAAACCTACAGGTTCCAGCCAGGTGACTGGGTCCTCATTCGCAGACATCAGCACAAGACCTTGGAGCCGAGACGAAGGGTTCATTTGTTGTCCTGATGACCACGCTAACTGCAGAGTGGATGGCATCACCACCTGAGTACGCTACTCCCACGCCCATCCAGCAGATCCGTTCGCCATCTCAGAGGACTACAAAGGAGACGTGTGGATGTGGGAAGCTTCCAAACATCCCTCAATCTGCTAAAACTGCATCTTTGCTGCGGCGATCAAGTTGAGTCCCAGTGATTTTGTTTCTATTGCTAGCTACTCAAGTCCCCTCTTCCTCCTCCATGCATAACCAACATTCCCCATGGAACAAAACCTGGATGATGGTTAATGAGGACTGCACTATAGCTAATAGCACCTCTTCTGTTCAGAACCCCAAGGACACTTGGTTCCCTGACTTCTATGTAGACCTTTGTGGCCAGGCAGGAGAAAGATGGGACCTCAGACCAGGAACCTTCCCCCAGGTATGGATGCAAAACTCCTGGATGGCTGGGATCAACTTAATCCTTGGGATTCTATATCTGTCCTGGCCACTCTCACTCCAGGGAGCGACAACATACTTGGGGGGTGCCGAGGATGCCTACTGTGCCAAATGGGGATGTGAGTCGACTGGGTGGATTAGCTGGTTGCCCCCTGTCACTGAGGAATTAATTACTATCCAAAGGGCAGGGGATATGAAGACAGCCGGGATAGGGACTTGCTCCGTAGGCAAATGAGTTGACTGTGGACCCTGCTATGATAAGGATCAATACCCCAAACACCCCTGGGCGACCTCTGGAGGGCGCTGCAACCAGCTTGGCATCAAATTCACCGAAGTGGCAGAAAGACCGATTGGACCACCGATAAGACCTTGGGCCTACAGCTCTACCGCACTAGCTGACTCAGTACTGACATTAAAGTTTTGATAGGACCCAACTGGGTCATTAATCCACCCCAAGCTCCCAGCCCGTCACCCCAAGTTCTGTCCGGCAGGATGATTCCACAACCAACTCAGGCGAATGTCAGCTGTAGCCTCATGATCACATCAACCATCAACCTGTTGATGGGACACGAGCACCCTTTAATGGATCTGTTGGGTAGATCGTGCCTGGTACTAAATGCTTCCCAACGCAATTTGATGGAAGCTTGCTGGCAATGTTATGATATAGCTCCTCCTTACTATGAGGGCCTAGCAGTTAGTGCTTCTGTTTCCACGACAGCTGACATCAGTCACTGCCGGTGGCAACAGAGCAGACAAGGCCTTACCCTAGAACAAGCGACTGGGCAGGGACTATGTACAGGGCAGGTTCCCCCAGATAAAGCTTCTAACTGTAATTCTTCACTGTCTACCCACAATTTCACACAGGATCAGTACTTGCTCCCACACAATGACACTTGGTGATCCTGCTCCACGGGGCTTACCCCTTGTGTGTATACTGAAGTCCTAAACCAGACCAGGGGACATTGTGTACTAGTCAGGCTCCTTCCAAGAACACCTACCACACTGATCAGGAGTTCCTAGACCTGCAGCAAGGATGGAGCCAGCCCTCACGGCTATGGAGACATAGGAGAGAGCCTATGCCAGCCCTCCCCCTTAGCCTACTTTTAGGCACTAGCCTGGAGGGATTGGGCACGGGAATCTCAGCACTAGTAACCCAGAATCAATATTACTCGAGCCTATGTGTTGCCATAGATGTAAATATGGAGCACATAGAAAAATCCATCCCCCACCCAGAGGAGTCCTTATCCTCCCTGGGGGAGGTAGTCTGGCAGCACAGGAGGGGATTAGATCTTCTCTTCTTATAGCAGTGTGGGCTCTGGGCAGCGCTAGGGGAAGAGTGTTGTTTCTTCACTGATCATTCGGGAAGAATCAAAGACAGCATGGCTAAAGTTAGAGAAGGACTAGCAAAGCGGAAAAGAGAACGCCAGGCCAGGCAGGATTGCTTTGAAATCTGGTTTAAGAGCTCTGCCTGGTTGACCACTCTCATCTCTTCTGGGACCCCTGGTGATTCTGCTTTTTTTTCTCCCCCCCCCCCCAAACAGGGTCTCTCTGTTGCTTTAGTTCCTGTCCTGGAACTAGCTCTTGTGGACGAGGTTGGCCTCGAACTCACAGAAATCCACCTGCCTCTGCCTCGTGAGTGCTGGGATTAAAGCTGTGAGCCATCACTGCTTTGCCGGGCCTTGCATTCTTAACTGGCTAGTAAAACTCATGAAAGACAGCCTGTGTACAATACAACCTATTGTCCAGATATCACAAATCCATAGACCTCTGCTTACGAGACCTGTCAGGAACCCAGGATTGGGTTCACTATAGTTACTAGAACAGGGGGAATGAAGAACCAAAGTTTCTCCATTTTGTCCTCTGCCTCCATCGTGTGTCTTGTGTAAGCTACTTCCTGTAAAACATTCCAGTCCTCAGAAAGGGCGAGGGGCAAAAGTAATGGGGTAGCCAGCTGGAGTGTACAGATGACCGCAGACTGTCCCCACCTGAAGGCCAGCAGATAAGAAAACTTAACAAGCAACAGGTGATGTAACTTTTCTGGGTTTTGCCTTTAAATAATGCCCTCTAGAAGGGCAGGGTACCCCTCTTGCTGTTGCTGCACCAGTTGCTTTGATGAGGTCCCTGCCAGCTTGTACTGTGCACACAATAAACCTTGCTTTTGCATTTCGGTGAGTCAGACTCCCTGGTGGTCTTTTGGGGTGCCCACGGACAGGAAATAACAGTGTACATCCTGTCTTAGGTTGCCATGGAGGTAAAGCAATATACATAAATCACCCTGGTGGTGCACACATTTGATCCCAGCGCTTGGGAAAATGGAAGCAGTATGATCAATGTTCAGGCCCACCTAGGCTAAGTGAGACCTCTGCACCAAAAAAAAAAAAAAAAAAAAAAAAAAAGGTTTGACACAGGTTTTCACTGTAATCTCAGATGGTCTGGAACACACAGGTTTCCTCCTGATTCAGCTGGATTTACAGCCATGCCCAGCTGGGAAACATTTATTTTATTTGAGCTTACCTCAATTCGTAAAAATTAAAATTCTAGTGTCATGTAAGGTGGTGCACAACTTTAATCCCAACATTCTGGGGACAGAGGCAGACACAGAGACATGTGGATCTCTGTGAGACTGAAACCAGCCTGGTCCAAGAGCTCCAGGTCAGCCTGGATTACATGCACATATAATTTTTTTTTTTGATTTTTCGAGACAGGGTTTCTCCGTAGCTTTTGGTTCCTGTCCCGGAACTAGCTCTTGTAGACCAGGCTGGCCTCGAACTCACAGAGATCCGCCTGCCTCTGCCTCCTGAGTGCTGAGATTAAAGGCGTGCGCCACCACCGCCCGGCTCACATATAATTTTTTAACTTTAATTGTGGGAGCGGACATGTGCCATGGAGTGCATGTGGAGGTCCTAAGGTAACTGGCAGGAGTCAGTTCTCTCCTTCCAAGGATGTTTCAGGATGTCAGGCTGGGCAGCAAGTGTCTTCCCCCTCTGCCATGGCTCCTTGCTTACAGTCTCTCAGCCCCAAGCTGCTCACCCCTTGCCCTCTCAGTCGAATGAACTACCAAAGAGAGACTGTTGATGCAGCTCTCCTCTCCACTCAGAATCACACAGGGGCTCCTCAGTTGCACCGTGATTCAACTGCCTAATATTTATTTTTAAAGATTTATTTATTGTGTTCTGAGTGTTTTATCTCCATGTTTGTTTGCAGGACGTGTATACTGTGCCCACAGAGGCCAAAAGAGAACATCAGATCTCCCTGGAACGGGGATTACAGATATTTGTGAGTGAAAGGAGCAAACCGGATCCACTGGAAGTGCAGTAGGCGCACTTAACTTCCCAGCTTTCATTCAGCCTCCCCAAGGAGCCCTCACCAGTCCCAGCCGACCCTGCCCCTCTCCACCTCCATTTTGGTAAGGAACGTCTTAGGCTTGGGGATGATCCGGGAGGAATTCTAGGGCTCAGAAGGCGGAGCCTTACGTGTCGTCAGGGAAACACAGCTATGCCCGGTGGAGAAGTACAATTCCTGTCTAGAACTACAACTCCGGTCCACCCCTGCGCTCCCGGGTCCTCTAGATGGTGGCCCTCAAGAAAAAAGCCGGAGCAGGCAGCCACTAGGGGAGCATACAGGGCCCACCGCGTTATTCAGGTGAGCAGCTGAGGGCCGGGGACTGACCTCTGCGCAGGGAGGTGGCCTGCTGGTAGGGAGATGGAGGTGTCGGGACGGAGGAGCCCACCGCTCCGGCTCTGGCCGCTGACTCCGCGAGAGAGGCCTTGGGAGCGCTTCCTCCAGGTCGCGCCCAGCGCCCAGCTTCAGCCACTGGAGTCTGTCATCGCTGACCTGCTAGTGTCTGCTTCTTCAACAAGCGCTCCCTGAGTGTGGTGGCCGCTGCTGTTTCCCAATCCCCAAGGAAAAGCTTCCCTAGCTTTATGAGAGTTGCATCCCGGCGGCGCAGATCCTGGGAAGGTGGAGCTCGCTTGGCAAGAGGGGTCGGGCGGGTCAGCCTCAAGCTGAAGAATGGCTGGAGGGAAGAGGGTCGGTGTGCGAAGCACAACAGCCAGTGCGATGGGGGCTGATGGTGTGAGGCAGCGGGTACCCCGAGAAGGCAGAACCGAGCCGCTGGCTCACTGTGCCCCCGCCGGCCATGATTACCCCAGTACATGGTCCCTGGCTCCCGGGGGTGGGATGGACGAACAGGCGGGCCGGTGGAGCTAGAACGGGACACAGAAAGGAACTTGCATGACAGGGGCGCTGGCCTCAACTCGGGGTACCCCGAACTCTCTCCTGCTCTCGTAGCTGTTCCAGTCAAGTTCTCAGAGAAGCAGCAGGCTTTTCAGTACCTGTATGTGAGACAGCACAGAGTTCGCCAAGACACCCAGTCCACGTGGCCCGCCAATAGGACCCTTTTTATCCTCAATGTGCCCCCGTACTGCACGAAGGTAGGCATCTGTCGGGGGACCAGTGGGTTCTGAATGGGGGCTTGCCATGGGCCCTACAAAATTCTGGCGGTCAGGTGGAAATGCCTGCAAACCCTTATTGTAGAATGTTGAAAAGTTCTCACAGTTAAGAACTTTTTTTTTAAAAAAAAAAACAAAAAACAAAACAAAACAAAACAAAACAAAAAAAAAAAACAAAACCCTGTCCAAACAGCAGAGCTTCACTCCCCTGGAGGCTGTTCTGGAACTCACTAGATGGCCCAGGCTGACCTCAGATTTGCTGTCCTCCACCACCCACCACTCCCTCCACTCAGTACTGTTAGAGTGCTCAAACCTGGCTTCAAATTATTTTTCCTTCCAGTGATTTTTTTTTTTTTGGTTACTGGTTAGTTTTTCTTTCTTTTTTTGTTTGTTTTTTTTTTTGTTGTTGTTGTTGTTTTTGTTTTTTTCGAGACAGGGTTTCTCTGTGGCTTTGGAGCCTGTCATGGAACTAGCTCTGTAGACCAGGCTGGCATCGAACTCACAGAGATCCGCCTGCCTCTGCCTCCTGAGTGCTGGGATTAAAGGCGTGTGCCACCATCGCCCGGCAGTTTTTCTTTCTTGTGTAAGAAAGTCTAACAAAAATTACGTGCTGTTCTGTCTCGACACGCTGATTTTTTGCAGAAGCTATTACATTTATATACTTTTGATAATTTTGTTTTGTTTCAGACAGACAAGGTTTCTCGTAGTCTGAGCTGCATCTTATTCATTATGTGGTTGACGCTGTGTGTAAACAGGACAGACCTAATAATTCCCCTCATATCTTCCTGTCAAAGCTGACCTGCATGCCGAGCCCAACAGCACATGCTTTCCCAGCACAGTTTCTGTTACACCGGGTTGTCTTATCCCTCAGAGTGGATCAGTGACTACAGAGATTCAGTGCTCGCCCCTGAGGCCCTGAGGGTGGAAGTGGACACTTTCATGGAGGCCTACGACAAGAAGATAGCTGAGGTAGGGCTGCGGCAGGACCCCAGGTCTCAACGCTGGAGCCAGGGTTGAGAAGCCTGGTCCTCTCCTGAGCACGGCTGGGCTCAACCGCTGCCTTCAGACCCCACCCTTTGTTGGCACTGACACCTGCCCACTGTCTTTCCCACACCTCACATGCTCCTGGTCCTTGGACCCAGGACACACCTTCACCCGAGCAGCCCCTGTCGACCCTCCCTCCTGAGCGGCAGGTGCCACCTCTGATGTGGGTCCCTTGGCGACCGTTTACCCACTGAATTCTGGAGCCCCCAACTGCAAGGCCTCATCTAGAAAAAGGGATCCCTGGGACTGCTTCTTTTGGGGGAGCAGAGGGCTTAGGAGTCCTGCTTTCTCTGGGCCTCTCTTCTCCCTGATACATTGTGTTCTCAGAACTTCCTACACCATCATCTCCCACCTCAGCCCCCAGAGTGGCTGTAGTCAGTGTCCAGTTCTGTTTCCTTGCAGGAGCCTGACCTTAACTGTGTAGTCAGGATGGAAGGGGTATGGGGTGGGAGAGGGAGAGTGTGCAGAGCCGCCCTAGGACATGAGGGTGAGGAGGTCCCTTTACTGGGGTGGCTGGCAGGTCCTGCACAGGTACTCTGTGACCCGTCCTGTTCCCTTCACACCCCAGACCTAGCACAGCTGCGCAAGAAGTTCGAGGAGGACAAGCAGAGGATTGAACTGATGCGTGCCCAACGCAAATTCCGACCCTACTGAGCTGTTCTGGATGTGGAGAGCTGGCGTGGAGAACACAAAGACCGGCAGGCCTGCTGCCTTGGGGACTGTGCTTAGGGGAGCAGATGCCAGGCCAAGAAGCTGCTGCGTCCCACAGCTCCAGCTCTTCACCCACGCAGGCTGGAAATCAGGACGAGAGGAGGATTTGGTCTTGAGGAGCTGCCCCTGCCTCTTTGGGCCTGGGAGACACTCCTGGGAAATGTGACTGCTCTCTGCTCTGAACCTGTTACCCTCCACGAATCCCTGCTGACAACAGAGCCATTCAGAAGGCAGGAAAGAGGGAGGAAGATTTTATTTCCACAGAGACCGGTGATAAGCACAAGCTGCAGAGACCCAAACGCAGCCCTGCTCCCTCAGCAGCACCAGCTTAGTAGAGCTCACCAACCGCAAGCCCCAGACCACTGTGCCCTTCCTGAAGCCATGTATTAAAGGTTAGAATCTTCTTCTATTTCCCTTTACCTCTAGCTCTGCCACAGGATTCTCTGCTGCCTCTCTTGGTCTAGAGCACAGTGAGACCCACCCCACCTATTTTGTGGGCAGAGAGTGCTAGGTAGACAGCGTGAACAGTTCCAAGGCCAGAACTACAGCCTTGAAGAGGTCCTGGGTTGGCTCTGTAGGAAAGAGCTGATGAATCCAGCCACAAGGTGGGGCTCATTCATGTGGACATAGTGATTGCCTGGGATTTCCACATACTGGAACCGCTGGAGAAAGGGGAGGAGGTGAGATGGTGCCCACGCAGGAGATTCTCCCACAGCTGCGTGTCTCCAAGGGGGTCAGAGGCCACCTCTATTCCCAGCAGCCTGGGGACTTGGGGCTGTTCCAGTAATGTAGGCATCTGAGCTGTGAGGCTACAATGCTAATCTGGGTGTTCACAGTCAATTCTGCCAGTTCTGATGGAGATGAAGCACTCTGTGCAGGGCAGGTGTCAGGACAGCTTCACTGCACAGAAGCCTGAATAGCAGCTGCCCTTTGGGGTAGCCTCTGGCTGTGCAGAGGTTCCAGGCCTCGGGGATTCTAAATGCATGATGACCAGAGAGGGCTAGGACCTACACAGGCTCCTGGATCCACCACGGACCTCCTTCTGCCCTGTAGCCATCACACTTGCCAATGTGCTGGTTCCAGGGGCAGTGGAGGGAAGCGCAGGGCTGCTTCTAAGAGGTGCGCCCCACAAGTAAGCGTGGCCAGGGGGTAGGGTCCTGAACTCTAAGTTCCAGTATTCTGGGGCCTGGCCTTGAGGGGCCCTTATATTCCACTTAGGGAATATAAGGCCATCAATTTTATCAATGTGGGTTTCATCACAGACATAAACACCTGTGACCCTCCCAGGCCACATGCCTTACCTCCTTCAAGATGGCTCTTAGCATGTCCTGGATGAGGAGGAGCGGCTCCCTGTTCGCATCATTCTCTCGTCTCACATCAAAGTACCCCTGTGTTGCTCTGGGCAGCAAGAAGTGGGGGTGTCTCATCTCTGAGTCTTAACAGAGCCCTCTGCCCTGTCTGTGTTTCAGGACCTGAGGAGCCCAAGCCTAGACTGAGTCTGATTTTCCTTCAGCTATGTTCTTTTGAGCCTAGATTGATCCTGGGGTTCAGTCATTTAGTACCAGCTTCCTCTTAGAGTTGGTAGCTGACTAGCACAAGCTGAGTGTCTGCTGGGGTGCAGCTGTCAGAAAGCTGGGCTGAGATTTGAACCAGGTCTCAAGCTCAGGCTTTTCTGATGCTCAGGCTTTTATAATAAAACCTACTAAGTCCTAATTTACAGATCACACAAACATCCCCGTCCCTATTTGAAGCACATTGTAGCCTAAGCTGGCCTCAGACTTCTCACAGACTAGCCATGCCCTCCCTGCATTGCAGGTGTGAGCCACCATGCCCAGCCGTTCCTTGTTTTTAAGTTTTGATTTGCCTTAATTTATAACAGTGTTAACAAATTTCTCCTGAACTCACGGCTGTGGCTGCCACCACGAAGCATCAAGGAAAGGATTGGGCTAGGCGAACTATGGGTTGCTAGCCCAGGAGAAGTTCCTAATTCAAAATTCCCGAATGTGAAGATAATCCTGGATGTCTGTCACCCCACTGGTCATCAGGGTTAATTTGGGGGTCTGGCTAGGGGTGCATCCCCTCCACATCACTCCATGTGCCTCCTTCCTGAAGCTGTGCACGCAAACAGGACGACCTGTCCTAATAGAGCGGGACTCAAGCTCCCCAGATTCCAGTGCCGTGTCTGTGACGTGCATTCTGCTTTCTCAGCGTGGGGAGTGGAATCATAAGCACAGCCCATGTCAGGCCTCCCCAGAGACCTGCCGATCTGTGCCGCAGTCCTCACCCCGCCCTCTGCTCCCAGGCTGCTTCTTCCTTGGCCTTCCCCCTCACAGCACCTGCTGACAAAGATGCTTCCTGAGAAGGGCTGAGTGGACAGTCGTGTGGTGTCACCCTGGAGAACTGGACACCTTGTGCCAGGCTCCCTCAGGTTCCTGGTCCCTGGGTCTGTCAAGGGCACTCTGTCTAGACTCACTTGATGAGCAACACATTGGCCTGCAGGCTTCTGGTATAATATGCAAACATCTCCTTGCTGACAAAGTCAATTACGTTCTCTGGCTGCAGAAACAAAATAGAGTGAATCCTTACCATGATGTCCCATGTCCACCTGCAGTCAGAGTCCTTATTTCAGGGCAGCTGGGTTCCAGTGAGGTCAGCAGGGCCACCCTCCCCAGGAGGCCAGTGTCCACCAAGTCTCTTACTCATCAAGGCTTCTTAGCTTCCATCTGCCAAAGTTCTGTCTCCCACCCCCCATCCATTTACAGAACCCTTTTAGGTCAGGTATGGCTGTTGACTGGAGGTGACTTATGGACTATTGAGGACTGAGAGCCCCCTGCAGCCCCCTCCTCATGCACAGTCAGCTGTGGGCTCTGGGCTCTGTCACACAGAGCCCATTCCCTTCATGAGACTGCTTCCACTTGACAGAAGTGTGTTTGGTCCACAACAGAGTTGAGTCCACCGCACCTGAGTCTCCCCCAGCACAACTGCTCTGTCCTTGCACTAAATCCGCCTGTGCTGCAGTGCGCTAGGAGACCTCCAGCCCAGTGCGCTAGGAGACCTCCAGCCCCGTGCAGCTACTGACGGACATTAGGACACATGCAGGGCAGGGGTGATATACCGGCTAGGATCAGGGGACTTCATGGAGAAATGATATAGTTAGTAGAGTTAGAGATGTCAGTACAGCTGGGCTGAGTCTGCAGGTCAGTGGCAGAGAGCTTGCCTGTTATACACTGGGCCTGGTGGGTATCTGATACCCACTTCTCAGACACACCATGAAAAAATTCACTGTTGGGCTGGAAATGGGTTAGTCAGTAGAGGGCTTGTGACAAGGCCTGATTCTGATCTGTTGTTTAAAACAACTGGACAATGTGTGACATTCCTACAACCTCAGCCCTCAAGAGGCAGGGACATGTCGATCATTGGAGTGTGCTGACCGGCCATCTCAGCCTATTTGGAAAGTTTAAGATAATCTCTAAAATAAGTAGATAATAATAAATAAATATGAGGCTGGGCGGTGGTGGCGCACTCTTTAATCCCAGCACTTGGGATGCAGTGGCAGGCGGTTCTCTGTGAGTTTAATGACAGTATGGTCTACAGAGCGAGTTCCAAGATAGGCTACAAAGCTAACAGAGAAACCCTGCCTCAAAAACCTAAACAAATAAATGTGAGTGTTGTGCCTGGAACAACACTGAAGGCTGACCTCTGACCTCCACGTGCACAGCATACACACACGGTCTCACACAGACACACACAACCTGGTCACTGCTTGTCCTGCTCCTCAGACTAAAGTCACCATGGGTCCATCCTCAATACAAAGATTCCCACATCACCCAGGAGGCCCCACACTCTCTCAATCCGGTCCTCACATCAGAGCAACCGTAGGAGCTGTGATGGGCCATAGGGCTGCCTGCCAGGGAGATCCTGTGGCTTCACCTTCTCAAGTCTGCAGGGGAGAGGTGCAGAGGGCAGCTCTGAACCCTGGCCACAGGCAACAGCCAACAGGAGGAGGAGTCTGAAGCAGATAGGTCAGGCTTGGGCCTTGGCCTCTCTCATCTCCCTCCTTCTCCTCAGGAACTGGGGTTGTTTGTCTCAAGGGCACAATCAGGTCTCAAACTTAATTTTAAGTTGGCCCCAGGGCAAGGATTAGGGGACATTACCTCCACTCATGCCTGCAGCCGTGAAGCTCTTCTGAGTTTTATGGCAGCTGATGTCTCCACTGTGGGCTGACCACATTGAAGGCACTTCCATTTCCTGACCCACCTTTTTTTCTCTCCTTATGTAGTAAGATTAACCCAAGAGCAAAGTCAAATGAACCACCAGCTCTGAGACATTCTGCATGGAAACAGGGTGTGAGACCTGGACCCAGGTCAATGTGCCCTGCTGTGCCCCAGACTTCCGGGGTCCTCCACCAGGGGAGATCACCTCTGTTCTCTAGCTCCACAACTGACTTCTTTAACTTTACACATGTCTGTGAGAGACTTCAACAAGAGAGCATGGAAATGATGCAAAGTCCTGAGACAAGGGTCTGTGTCCATGCACATGTATGAAAAGACACTTGAGTTGAGAGTCTCTCAGTGTGTGTACACATGTATAGTCATAAATGGAGAAAGATCTGGGGATGTAGCTCACTGTATAACACTTGCCTAGCTTGTACACATCCTGGGGTTCAATGCCCAGCACCCCTCCTCCCTGCATATGTGTGAGAGAGATTGGGGATGAAGTCAGAACCCTTGTGCATCGCTGGTGGGAACATAGAATAGAGCAGCCTCTGCAGACAACAGTTTAGCGCCTTCTCCAAAGATCAATCTTAAGTCACCGCGGGCTCCAGCAGTCTCTTTTTTTTTTTTTTTAGTTTTTCGAGACAGGGTTTCTCTGTGGTTTTTGGAGCCTGTCCTGGAACTGGAACTAGCTCCCGTAGACCAGGTTGGTCTAGAACTCACAAAGATCCGCCTGCCTCTGCCTCCCAAGTGCTGGAACCAAAGGCGTGCGCCACCACTGCCCGGCTTCCAGCAGTCTCTTCTGGCAAAGCCAAGAACCGGAACAAGGACTCAGACACTTGTACCCCATGTTACAGTAGCATTGCTCTCCATTGCCAAAACCTCAACCCCAGTGTCTGTCAGCAGAGGAATGGACATGGAAAATGTGCTGTGGGCAGGTTAGATGGCTCAGTGGGTGAACACACTGGCTGCCGAGCTATGATCCACGACACTCATGGAGGAAGGAGAGACTCCCATGAGTTGTCCTGATTCTGCACAAGCGTCTCTCTGCCTTTAACACACACACACACACACACACACACACACACACACACAGAGCTGCCTCTGCCCCCACATGCTGGGGTTAAAGTCCCCAGGATGGAACAGGATCCAGGCTCACAAGTGTGAACATGGATGTGTGTTTCCCATGAAAGGGTCTGGTCAGCATGATGCTGAGGAGAACCTAGGCCGAGAAGGGCAAACATTGGTTCTGCTTTCGTGAGGCCCCTAACAGGTAGCTTCACAGGGAGAGAAAAGTAAATTAGGGGTTGTTGGTGAGACAGGTGAGGGCTTAGTGTTTTAATGGATCAGTGTTGACTGAGGATAGCAAAGGTTGGGCTATACGTTTTGGTGATGGTTACATAAGACAGTGTATTTAATATGACAAGGCAGATAGGCAGCTAAAATATGCATATAATTCTAAAACTACTTTAAAAAAAGAGACCACAGGCATTCTGTGAGGGAAGCTGGAAGACAGTGGCACTTACCAGAGAGATCCTCCGGTCCCTGTTCAGCACCAGACCTGGAGAAAGCACAAAGCATGGTGGTTTCAGTATCATCTGTTACAGGAAGGGATTCACCTGGCTTCCTTGGAGGTCCCAGTCTTTCCACAGAGGGCTCATGTCTGCCATCTGGGCTGGTGAAAGCCATCCTGATGTCAGCCAAACCTGGACTTCCGTTCTGGGATTCTTCTAGAGCAAATTTTGGTCACAGCACATAGGCATCTCCTCAGGACCAAGGAGCAGGAAGAATGAGGATGGAGACAGCACGGGTCTCTCTCTAAAATCTAGGAGCTTTTCTGGTTGCTGAACTCTCAGGTGACCTCAGCCTAATGAATCCAAGGCAGAGGCCTCTGTCCAATCCTGGACTGCCACACTCACAGTCTTGATGGGGAGCTGTACCTCTCAGACCGTTAGTAAGAGTTCTGGACAAATACACAGAAGACGCTCACGTCGTCAGTGACTGCCAGACACGGCACCTCCACATCTTCTGCAAACCTCCTGCACGTGGGCCCGGCAGGGCACAGCCATGACAGTCACCACCTTTAGTCCAAAACCCTACCAACCTTCACACACAGTGTGGCCTTCTACAATGCCCATGTGACATTGTACCTGGCCCTTGGCTATGTGCAGCCTCAGTTTCCCTGCTATCCCAGGACTGTATGAGGCAATGGGGGAGTCAATGAAGCAGTTCAGGAACCGAGTGTCAGCTTGGCATATGCACCCTCCCATGTTCTCCCTCAGTAATGACAGATGGTCCTTACCTGTGTCCACCTTCGTGGTTCCTCTCTGCAGGAGGAGTTCCCCACACTCTCTACTCAAGTGGTTGTTGTTAGCCAGGAACCTGGGATACAGAAGACATTAAAGGAACCAGAGCCAGGGGTCACACAGAAAGGAACGCAGGTGGCTATAGATACTGTGCCCAGTTTGAATTCCAGTGCTTCAGGAAGCTGAAACAGGAGGAACTGAATTCAAGGCCAGTCAAGGCTACTAGTGAGTTCAAAGCAGGCTGGAATTATAGCGAAATCTCTCTAAATTAAACAAAGAAACAAACAACAGAAAAGACCGGGGTTGTGGATCAGGGTAAAGGGCATGAGGGCTTAGGTTCGACCTCCAGGAAGGACAGAAGGAGGAAGAGATGGAGGGAACGGAGGCTACCCCTGAACAATGTGCACTTCCTTCAGAATCAGCGAGGATTTACAGCATCAGCGCATCTGCCTGTTATTCTGTGTGTGTCCCTTCCTCTAGACAACAAACACAAAAAAGGAAAGCCCTGTCTGACCGTGCACACTCCAGAAGCAGTGAGTACGGATATGACAACGGCATTCCCAGTTGGACCACGAATGCAGAATTTAGAGAGGCAGGGTGGTTGTTCCGAGGTGGAGGCTGCCAGGCAGCTCTAGCAGGAGAGTGGGAGAGAACTGCGGGTAGTCAGAGAGAAGAGGTGTGCCATAGAACATGAACATGGGGAGAAAGAAAGAGCCCCCACCCCACAGGCGGCATGAGGAAAGAGGGGTGGTGACAACACGGGGCTTCTGAGAAGTGTCCAGGAGGACGGGTGCTGAGTGACACCCCAGCGGAGGATGACTAGGGGTGGAAAAGTGGAGGGGAAGATATTGTGAGGAGGGGGAGGAGGCTGTACCTCCTCCCTGACTTGGAATGTTGTCCACCAGGGCACAATGGTCCCAGCCCACCTTTGCCCTGCCCTGGCTGCCAGCACCTACCCCTGCAAAAGCTCCTCAGGGCTGGACACCCTCGGGGACTTCTGGGAAGCTTCCACCTTCAGCATGTGTTCTATGTTCCTCCGTTTGTAGGTCAGGATGTTCTCTGTTTCCTAGGGATTCAGCCAGAGCTGGTGAATAGTGACGCCCAGATGAGGGGTCCCGTCCTTCCCCTGGTCCTGTCTGCTGCCCTCCATGCCCCTCTGAGGGATCAGTCTGTGCTCGCTGTCCTTCCTATTCAGCACAGGCTGCCTGGGACAGCTAGAGGGATGTGCTTTGTAGAGGGGGTGACACTAGGATTCATTAGGGCAGCAAACTCAGTGATGTCAGTGAATGCTGTCATCACTAATAAGAGGTAGGGGGCACAGGGTACAGGCAGGTTCCATCGGCCATACAACATGTCCCCAATGGCAGAAGACCAGCAGGTTCAGGCTTTGGGGGCTCAGTGTCACCCAACACCACCCAGGAGGAAGCCTCAAGGCTCTACATTTGTTTCATCAGTGGAGCATTACAGAGACCAAAGGTCAAAGATTACTCTAATCTGGGTATCGGGTCCACACTAACCCATGGTTTGTGCAATGGAAAATTGCTGAGTGTTTACAGTGTGCAGGGACTGGAGACACGGGGATAAAAACTAACTCCAGCAGGGCAGTGGTGGCAAACACCTTTAAGTCCAGCACTTCAGGGGCAGAGGCAGGCAGATCTCTGTGAGTTCTAGGTCAGCCTGGTCTATAGCTATTTCCTGGACAGCCAAGGCCTCACAGAGCAATCCTGTCTAAATAATCAATATAAAAAAACAAACAAAATCTAATAGCAGCTATAAGACAGTTAGGGCAGGGGAATTTCCAGGAGTTCACTGCCAGCCTTGGTTACAGAATGAGCTCCTGTCTCAAAAAGAAAGAATGAGTACTTATCCTCAGGGAACGGGTTGCAGGTTTGTAAAGAAAAAAGGAAAGGTGGAAACAGACACAGTGGAGTCCCCTGGAGCAAACTCAGATCCTCAGGGTCACACAGGTAAGGACAGAGCCAAGCCTCAGACACTGGACAGTACTGGCTGTTGTGAGTGCTGCTGGCGGTGTTTTTCCATCAGCCACACTCACAGTTGATGGACCTGGTTGTGCTCCGTGTGCACAGCACAAAGGAATTGGTTAAGTGTTAGGGCAGGCAGCTGCTGTGGCCCAGAGTTCCTCCACCCATAACTGCCCCCCTCATCCACCTTCTGCTGTTTCCCAGTCTATGTGGGATCCATCAGCATTCTGAGGAATCCAGGCCACACACTGGGCTTCCAAAGAGTTCCCTTACCCTGAGCCCTGACATTCTCAGGGTCAGCTGCCCTCTCTGGAGGATATCCCTGGCTAACTCATCTACCCTCTGCCACATTCTCTGGCCTCATTAATGTCCAACACAAGAGACAGAGATGACACTGCCCTCCCCTCCCCAGGAAGAATGGGGTCCCGATCACAGCCTCCAAAGAAGCATTTTCCTACATTAGAGTCCAGGGCAAAAGGTGTTGTATCCAGTAAGATAAGTTTGTCCACCATCTCGGGGAAGGTGCAGGCGAACTAGAGAGTGACAAGAGAGATGGAGTTAGTGGGTGAAGGCACAGGCTTCACAGAGCCGGAGTCTGCTGTCCCTTCAGGGTGCTTCTCCCAGACCCAGCCACAGACCCAGTGACCCTACGGGGGACACGTAGAAACTCTACAAGGGACCTTTATCAGAACATAGTGTGAATGTGGAAACAGTCTCTGGCCACTGCATCCACTGTGTGAAGGGGCTCTTCCTAGTCTACCTTCTGCTTGCTTCCCAAGGTCCCACGTGACCACAGAACAGCCAGCTACTCACCATGCTGCCCACAGTGCCACCTATCAGACAAAAGAACAGAGCTGACATCCTATGCGACCCCTCACCAATACCCTCACCCAAGCACTTTCATAGGGCCTGTCCAGTCCCCAGCTTGTCTCCCACCATGGGGTTGGGTCTCTGCATCTTCAACTTGGAGCCTCTCCCTGGGCCACCAAGGTCCTTCACCTGAAAACACTCACAAGGCCACCCCTTCCCTCATCTGACACCAGAGGCACAGTCTCTAAGATAAGCATTTGTGGGTCCTCTTATTGCTCCTCAGAGGGGCAGGGAAAAGTTCCAGGTTCCACTGTGTCAATCTTCCTGTCTCTCCTATAGTCCTCCACCTAACTCAGGGCCTGGCCCAAACTGACTCACCGAAACTGTGGCCCAGGATGGAGAACTGGATCCATTTAAAGGCTGAAAATACAGAGCCAGAAAGAGTTTGCATGGCCCAACCTTACTCTGAACGTTTTCCTGTGTCCCGGATTGGGACTTCTTCCTAATCCCTGTAGCACCCCCAGGAGATCAGCTGAGGGGGCTCAGCTCCACTGTGGGAGGAAGCAAGCTTGCTCCTCTCAGTTGCTGGGAGAACTGGAGTCAGACCCCAGACATCCATTCCCAGCCAGCACTGCCTCCTAGACACGGTATCCTCCTCCTGGGATGAGAGGGGATGTCACAGAGGACCCACACACACACTCACACACACACACACACACACTCACACAAACACTCACACACATACACACACTCACACACACACTCACACACACACACTCACACACACACACACACTCACACAAACACTCACACACATACACACACTCACACACACACTCACACACACACACTCACACACACACTCACACACACACACTTACACACACACACTCACACACACTCACACACACACTCACACACACACTCACACACACACTCACACACACACACTCACACTCACACACACACACTCACACACACACTCACACACACACTCCCACACTCACACACACACTTACACACACACACACACTTACACACACACTCACACACACACTCACACACACATACTCACACACACACTCACACACACACACTCACAACTCCTTCTCGACACTCACTTTCACTCTTGCTCACCTGTTGCCACCCGCCGGACGTCACTCACAAAACTTTGGTGGTAATATGGGAAACCTGGGTGGTGATGGGACGAGAGCCCGTGACCTCCGAAGTCCATGGCCACATAGTGAAAACCTGCAGCAGAGAGGAGAACGAGAAAGGGGTCTGCATGGCAGCTTCCACCCCTCCACTGCCCCTCAGTCCATAGCCCACCTTGTGGAAGAAGAGGAATGAGCCTGTCAAAGGAGTTGGCATTGTCCAACCAGCCGTGCAGGCAGAGAACTGGAGGGTTCTTCTGGGAGCCCCAGACTTTGACAGCAATGTGGCCCCAGGGCACAGCCAGCTTCAACTCTGAGAGCAGACCTGTAGGGTAGAAGCAGTCATTCATCTCCTGCATCCACCAAACCAGCATGTCCTAAGCCCCTCATCTATGTATGCGGCAGCATGCGTGGGCTTCAGTGTTAATGGCCTGTGTCCTGGCTTTCCACAGCCGGACTGCCAGATATCCTGAGGAGGGAAAGATAAGCAGCTCTCCTGGGTGAGAGAGATCTGAACAGGCTTTTCGGATGTAATCCATTGATGCTTGGACAGAAGGGGAAGGCATGGGTTGGGGGTGCTGCCTTGAATTTTCCACTTGTGGGCTCTATGACCTTGGACTGGTGGCTTAAAACCTCTTCATTCTCAGTTTCCTTTCTGTTTTATTGGAGTAGGTAGATTACAGTGCCTCTCAACTGTAGGGGACCCCATTCGAAGAACCCCCATGGATATCTGAAACCATTAATGTACTCCATATAATGATGAATGCTAGCTATATTTTTATATATAAACACCCATGATAACATATACATCATAAATTGGCACAGGAGATAAACAACACCTAATAAAGCACTGCTCATAACAATAGACTATGATATATGAGATTTGGTGGCATGTCCCTATCTTCTCAGTAGAAGACAAGGTAGAAACAGATCAGGAATTTGAGGTCAGTCTTGACAACATGAGACCTTGTCTCATAAAACATAAATCACCAAAACAAAAAATATACTGTAATGAAAATTTGTGCTGGGGTCTCTGTCTCTGGAGATATTATATAAGATCCAAATATAGCCTTGCACATCTGTAATCCTAGCCCTGAGGAGGCTTAGGCAGGAGAATTGCAGCCAGTTCAGGACAGACTGGTATAGGGAGTTCCAGGTTCATTAAAGCTACATTCAAAGAAACAATGAGAAATCCTGGAGGACCGTCTTTAATATGGCTCAAGATTTACAACACCACTCAGAGTAGCATCCTACTCAACACTGGAGTTTGCACTAAATATTTTGGACTTTGGAGAACTGAACTCTTGCAAATAGAAACCGGGGAGACCACCGTGGCCAGCATTTTCTAAGCCTTCAGAGCAGGCGCCAGGCACTTCACACAGGCCGACTGCCCACATGTTGAGTTGGAACACTGCCATTCTGAGTACACAGACCATGGAACTGAGCCACTGGGAGGTACAGAAGATAGCCAGACGCATTCGGAAAGATCGAGAGAAGATTTATGACAGACAGCATGATGCCGGGACTCCAGCTGGCCCTCCTCAGGTCAGGTGTGTCCCAGAGCTTACCTCCTCATGTTGCTGACCCCAAAATGCAACCCCAAATAGCCAAGCTCACACTCCTCTAATCTAAGGGCTATCAGGACTCAGCGGCGGCCCGAGACTCCATTGGAGCCCACACTCTGGCTCACTGCATCCCAGCACTGCTGACTGAGCCTGGACACCCAGTGGGGAGGGCAGTGAGCGTCCGCTCCACCGGCTCGAGTAAGTGAGTGGGTGCGTGAGGGTTCTCGCCGGCCTCCCCCTTCCCACTCCGATCTAAGGGGCCCCGAGGGGCATTTTCACCCATTGCTCTTTCGCAGCTGTCACTCCTAGCTCAGGAGGTCACAAGGACGGAAGGACTCAAAAGCTCGAGTACCGCCCACTGACTTTTTCTCCTTGCCCGATCCCGCCCCTCCCCTCCCCCCCATTCAGTCCTGAGAGGCCTCGCTTTAACCCCCAGGTTCCGCCCAGCAAGCAACCATCCATAGGCCCCGCCCAAAACGTAGGGCCCGCCCCACGCAGGCCCCGCCTTCCAAGGCTGGGAGGACTCAAATGGTTCTTGCCTGCCCTGGTGTGGCAACTTGGCTGAGCGGTGTTGGAGTCAGTGGAGAAGGACACGCTGATGGCAGGACCTATCCCTGGGCAGGCCGGCACAGCAGCTGGAGCAGGCCCAGTGACCCCACAGCAAAAAAAGTGCTCTGAGGATCCGCTCTGGCTCCTACAGAGGTGAGACGACTGTGTTTACAGCTTAAGATGTCATCCACACGTGTCCGAAGCCACGCAACAAAGCTTGGCACTATCCAACTTTGATAATTGAATGAAGAAATGAATGTATTGTAATAGAGGGCTCTAGTGGACACCACCCCGAGGCAAGGAAGGATTCTAAACTGGTTCAATCCAGAAAAGATGAAGAACCCAGAGTCCAGCTGTGGGCATGGTGCATTCATAACACTGAGAAAGGCAGATGGGGACTCGAGGCAAGCCTGGGATACACTGCAGAGACTCAGCCCCCACAAACCCACCCTAAAACAAAACCCTAGGAACCCAAACCACAAAACACTCCCCAAATGAGCACATGCAAGCATTGAATTTCACAGTAAAAGAAGAAACCTGCACCTCTTGAACTTTGGAAATTTGCCAGGCAGACCTCTGGAGGACAGGGAAAGAGCTACCACCAGCCCCTCTGCCCCAGCTCTGGTTTTACCTCTGTGTGAGAATCTGGGTGCTTCTCGCTGCTGGCTGGGAGAGGTGGGTCTCCAGCCATACTATTAGACGATGTTAGGGACCCTTCTTTCCTCCCGCACATGGGAGCCCTGTGCTGTTCACTGTACCAACCAGCTCCCAAATCATGACACAGAGATTTCTTATTAATTATGAATGCTCAGCCTTGCTTAGGCTCATTTCTGCCTCGATCCTTTACCCTAAATTAATCTATTTCTCTTTCCCTTTTGCTTTGGTCTTTTTTTTCCCATTTCTTTCTTCCTTTCTGTATGTCTTACTTTGTGTCTGCTGGCTGGCAGATCCCTTATTTGGGTCCTGTCCATCTCCCTTGTTCTCTCCTCTCTTCTTCCTCCCGTTCTTCTCTTCTCTTCTCTTCTCTTCTCTTCTCTCCTCTCCTCTCCTTTCCTCTTCTCTTCTCTTCTCTTCTCTTCTCTTCTCCCTCTCTTTTTCTCCCATTTTTGCCTCCTGCCACCCCTGCCTATCCTTTCTCCTGCCCAGCCTTGACCCTCCCTGCTTTGTTGTTTTTGCTTTTTTCGAGATAGGGTTTCTCTGTAGGTTGGGTGCCTGTCCTGAAACTAGCTCTTGTAGACCAGGCTGGCTTCACAGAGATCCACCTGCCTCTGCTTCTCACGTGCTGGGATTAAAGGCGTGTGCCACCACCGCCCGGCGAGGCCCATCAGCTTTTTATATTAGATCAATCAGGTGCCTTAGGCAGGCAAGGTGAAACAACACATCTTTACATAGCTAAACACATGCAGCAGAAACAAAAGTAACACAGCTTTACATAGTTAAAGTAATATTCCACAGCATAAGGAAATGTAATGCATCTTTGCCTAGTTAAAATAATATTCTACAACTGTCTGTTCTCTGGACCCGACTCTTGCTTTCTGTACTGCTGAGCCTCTGTTCCTTCCCTCCAGAATGCTGTTCCCTTCCACCTTTATCCTGAAAGTCCCACCCTCTTTTCAAGGCTGGGTTTCAGTCAGCTTCCTCAGAAACCCTCTTCAGTCCAGTCCCCCCAGAAGGAAATGTCACCTTGTCTCTCTTCACACTGTTGGTTACCTGCTTCTCACCTTGAATTTGGTCTCTCTCTAGATGCAGGTTGGCTTTTCCTTTTTCTCCCCCCCCCCCAGGGTTTCTCTGTGTAGACCTGCTTGTTTTGGAACTCTATCAGTAGGGCAGTCTGGCTTCACAGAGTTCCGCCTCTGCCTCCTGAGTGCTGTACCATCATGTCTGCTTCTTAAAAGTAAAATATGGTCATCGTAAAACTACTTCCCCCTTATAGCCACCAGATGGCCTTACATACATGAGGGACTCAATCAATGACTGCTGATTGGATTGGCTGAGAACTGGGAAAGGGAGGCTGCTCTGGGCACCCCGTAGGGGCTCACACACAAGCAGCAGCATTGCAGGGAAGGTAGGGAGGTATGTGAGTGGTGTTTAAGGTCCTGTGTTCTCACCCAGTGCTTAGGCTTCCTCGGATGGGGATAGTGCACACATATGGGGAGATGGAAAGGGTTTAATAAATGCTCACGTCCCCAGCTGAGAGAGACAAGAGTCCCCAGGAATTCCCTCCTCCATCAGAAGAGGAAGCCCTTGGCTAGTCTGAAATGGAAAGCTAGGCTTTTGTTCACAGGGAACAAGGGAGCTGGTGTCTTGCTCTGAAGAAATTAAACCTGAAGGAATACTTCACTGGTTGAACTAGGGCATCAGAAAAGTAGTTATTCCCTGACAGGGATAGATAGCCGCACCCCTCCTCCTCTACTAACCAGTCCTGAAGATTTCGTAGAGGAAAATGGAACTCAAGGCTTTCAACTTGAAGGTAGATGAAATGAAGATTTGAAAAAAAACCAAAAAGACAATGTCAAGAAAAGGCAGTAGACTGGCTGCAACGAAGGTTGAAGTAAATCTAGAGTATATAATACCCCAAATGTCTGTGTCTTAGTTGACAATGACTCACAAGAACCAGCAAATCTCCCATTGACATCAACCCCCGCATGGCAGAGGTGGTGGAACTGACAGGGCTTTTTTAATTTTCTTACTATTTTAAACGGGTTTTTACAATGTCACTATCTAGCCAAGACTGACTGGTCTTGGACATATAATCCTATCCTTCACCCCTAACCTGAGAATGAGGATTAACACACGCGGCACAGTTCCCGACTTCAATAAAGATTTTAAAGTAGCCATCATTAAAAAAGTATAATGGACACTTATGAATACACACTTGAATGAAAATTTTAAAGTCTTAGCCCTCCCCCCCCCGAAAAAAGTAGCCCTTTCCAACTGAGATAACAACCAATAGAGGGAAAAAGGAACAGAGCAGTGAACATGGAGGCTAAACAGTTGACACTGGGCTGAGGTGAAGCTCAGCTGGCAGGGAGCTGGTCTAGCAGCAGGAAGTGTTGTAGCCACTCGTTGGGGTGATATCTGTCAGGGTCCAGCCTCAGTGGGTTCGGACATCCCGAGATGGGAGCGTGTGGATTAGAAATGTTAGACAAAAACAGAGATATGAAGAAAATACAGAGACGTAGGGTAGTACCTGAAGGGCAACCAGTGAATGCTGAATCTGCCCGTGTCTGTTTTCCATATGCTTGTACACCCCAAACCAAGACGGGGCAAAGAAGGCAAAAGACTGCTTTAACATGTCACAGTGGACAAACAGAACAATTACTTGCTTCAATACCTGAGACATCAAACCGCTATTTCCTGAGTTAAGCATGCTGATGTTTTAGGCAGGATACACAGCAACAACACCTTAGATAAGTATCCTGCAGGCAGCCACTCCTGGGGCCAAATCTCCTGTCTAAATATGAAGTAGCAGGAATAGGCTTGATTTCTGACTTTTGGTCAAGGTGGACCGGACCCACCTCTACAAGCCTTGTTAATATCCAAAACACCAAGTAACCACAGCCTGGGTCAGGACCTCATCTGTAGCTACTCCTTAAGTCAGACTTCGTGTCAATAACTTGGAAAGACCAAGAGTAGGCTTAAGCTCTCTGATGTTAAGTCAAGGTGGAACGGACCCACTTCTGTGGACCCCACATATTCCTCCCTTTTTAAGTTATTTAATAAAGCCTGAGTGGCCAAAGGACAGACAACGGTGCCCGGCCTGGGCATCTTCTTTTACTTTTTAGGTTTACCCATCATATATATACATATATGTACATCATATTATATATAATGTACATATATACATATATGTACATCATATTATATATAATGTACATCCTGTCTTAGGTTACCTTGTACATAAATCGCCCCAGTGGTGAACACATTTGATCCCAGCACTTGGGGAAATGGAGGCAGGAGGAGCAGTGTTCAGGCCCACCTAGGCTAAGTGCGACCTCTATATCAAAGAAAAAGGTTTGGCACAGGTTTTCACTGTAACCTCAGATGGTCTGGAACACACAGATATTTTCCTGATTCAGCTGGGACTACAGCCAAGCCCAGCTGGGACACTTTTATCTGAGCTTGCTTCAGTTCGTAAAAATTTAAAATTCTAGTGTCGTGCAAGGTGGTGCACAACTTTAATCCCAACATTCCGGAGACAGAGGCAGACATAGATGCTGAAGGATCTCTTTGAGATTGTAACCAGCTAGCTCTACCAGCTCCAGGTCAGCCTGGATTACATGCACATATTTTTTTTTTTTTAAAACTTAAACTTGTGGGAGCGGACATGTGCCATGGAGTGCATGTGGAGGTCCTAAGGTAACTGGCAGGAGTCAGTTCTCTCCTTCCAAGGATGTATCAGGATGTCAGGCTGGGCAGCAAGTGTCTTCCCCCTCTGCCATGGCTCCTTGCTTACAGTCTCTCAGCCCCAAGCTGCTCACCCCTTGCCCTCTCACAGGTGAATGAACTACCAAGGAGAGACTGTTGATGCATCTTTCCTCTCCACTCAGAGTCCCGCAGTGGCTCCTCAGGTGCACCGTGATTCAACTGACTATTTACTTCTAAAGATTTATTTATCTATTTGTTTATTTATTTATTGTGTTATGAGTATTTTATCTCCATGTTGTTTGCAGGACGTGTGCACTGAACCCACAGAGGACAGA